TAAATTAAATTTTAATTAAGAAAATTATACCAAAATACGAGAACTTTTAAAAAGATTAATTTAATATTGATATCGATATTTTTTTTTTCAAAATTTTATGATATTTTTAAATTTATATTTCATTCAAAAATAAAAACATTATCACTTTTTCAAAAGCACATAAAACAAATGTTTACATAAAATTCAGATTACAAGTAAATTATGCAAAAGTACAACTTATTAAAGCTCGATGTTTGAATTCGTATAACTAATTGCAGATAAACATAATCAAATAAAGGATAAGCATCTTATTTTAAAATATAAAAAATCTAAAATATAATTAGGATAATTATCGAGTTCTAACAAAATAATTAATTATTATCTTTATAAAAAATTATATTATTAAACCAAATATAAATTATTTTGTTATTGTACCTAAATTAAATTATAATAAAAAACTGAAATTAAAAAATTACAAAAAATGAGGAATTTTAAATAGTTAATTTGATACGAATATCGATATATTTTTGTTATGCATAAAGTATTGTATATTGATGCATATTAATTAAAATTCAAGATTACAAGTAAATTATGAATATATATAACTTATTATCGATGTTTGAATTCTTATAACTAATTGCAGATAAACATAATCAAATAGAGGATAAACGTCTCATTTCAAAATCTAAAAAATCTAAAATATAATTAGAATAATTATCGAGTTCTGACAAAATAAATAATTATTATCTTTATAAGAAAATTATATTATTAAACCAAATATAAATTACTTCGTTATTGTACCTAAATTAAATTATTAAAAAATTGAATTAAAAAATTACAAAAAAAATATGAGAAATTTTAAATAGTTAATTTGATACTAATATCGATATATTTTTGTCAAATTTTTATGATATCTTCAAACTTATATTTTATTCAAAAATAAAAACATTATCGTTTTCTCAAAATCACATAAGACCATATTATAACATCGACTGAGATAAAAAAATAAAATAAAATATTAAAATCAAGATGTATCTCGCTGCATTACGCAAATACCATTCTAATGTATGATAAAAAACAAAGGAACATTCTGATGTCCATTTAATCAATAAAATAGATGGTCTAGATTTAAATGGCATTTTCGTAGATAATGTGAAAATTAAGTAACTTTCTAATACGCCTAACCCATATCCAAAGGTATATTTGGAACAGAAAATATAGATAAAATTTGGAAATATTTAAACGGGCTACTCTTGGGGAAATTACCTTATCAATATATAAGGTTGGGTTCATGTGAGACCAGTCTGTTTTCGTGAGACCCGTGAGACTATATTTTTATACTTGAAACTTCACAGCAAAAACACTGTGAAGGTTAAAAAAAGTCACCTTCACAGCATTTTGTTGTAAAATTTCAAGTGTAAAAAGGTGGTTTCACGGGTCTCACGAAAACAGACTGGTCTCACATGATCCCAAGTCTCAATATATATATATATATACACTATATTATAAAACATTTGATAAAAACTCTTAAAAATCATTTTTATACACGAAGTACTGTTTATTGATGCATATTACTTAAAATTTAAGATTACAAGTAAATTGTGCATAAGTACAACTTATCAAAGCTTCATATTTAAATTCGTGTAATTAACTGCAGATAAACATAATCAAATATTGGATAAATATCTCATTTTAAATATAAAAAATCTAAAATATAATTAGGATACTTATTAGTTATTATCTTTATAAAAAAATTATATTAGTAAATCTAAATTATATTTCTTTCTTACTAAACCTAAATTAAATTATAATTAAAATTTTGAATTAAGAAAATTACATCAAAACACAAGAACTTTTAAAAAGATAAATTTGTTACTGATATCGATATATATTTTTTGCAAAGTTTTGTGATATTTTCAAATTTATATTTTATTCAAAAATAAAAAACATTATCGCATTATATCGACATAAAAAAGGAATAAAATGAAACACTAAAATCAAGATTTGTCTCGATGCATTACACGAGTACCATTCTAGTATATATATATACACACACACACACACAAAAATTATAGAAAAGAATTACATAAAGATTAAGAAAGAAAGTGACCGGAATTTCTATCTTCCATTCTTCCTCGGATAGATTGAAGGTGTTGGTTGATAGATTGTAAACATTCCCATTTTGTTTTTTTAATTTTGACCAAGCTGCATATTTTCTTTTAAGATAATCATTGTGATTTTTCATCCGTCGTTGGTCGACGATAACATTATGTTTCTTTTTCAACTCTTCTCCAACATTCTTTCACGATTGTGGCTTAAGACTACTACCTTCTCGTCCATTTCTAATTGTTTCATGTATACAAGCTTCAAGAAATGTTTGGATCAATCCATCCTTTTTTCCAACTAATCCTATGTTTCTTTTGGTGTGGAGATCCACCAACTAATTCTATATCTAGTCCAAACAATTTTATAAAGTATAAAGTAATATAAAGTTTAGAAAAACTTTGTAAATGTATAAACAACAGGGAAGAACCAAAATCATAAACTAGCTTGTTGCCAACTTTCCACATATGCACAAGGTGAAGCATTGATTCCAAACCAACAGGGAAGAACCAAAATCACAGTCGAGGGAAGAAGGGAAAAGCCAAATATAGTCGTGAACCAATAACAGTAGCTAAAATAGAACAAGGGAATAAAATACAGTCGTGAAAATACTTGGAATCGACTGGAGGGAGACGATCGGCGAGTTTCACAGGCGAGATCGATGGCCGAAGGTGAGCTCTCGTGTGTCAGATGCGTGGAACGGTGGAAGCGATTGCCTTTTTAGAGGTGAAGGGTATATGTGGAATAAACAAGGATCTGAACCATCTAGTAATGTCCTAGACACAAAATGATTAAGAGGTGGTTGTCACCATTGATAGGATACAAATTTTTTGCCAAACACGTTTTGCCTCTGATATATTAAAAGATCAACTCTGAATGGAACCATTCATAGCTAAACAAACGGACCCTAAATAGGATAATTAAGGAATTTTAAACAAGTTCATGGTTGAAATCTGAAATTTCATAGATGAAACAATTAAGTGAATGAAATAATTAATAAATGTGATATTTAAGAAATGTAATAATTAATTGAATAAAATACTTAAGCAATTTGTTATCAGTAATGAAAAAGACGAAAATGCCCCGATCAACAAAGTTTGAAAAATGGATTGATCGGGTCTTTTCTGGGTGGACTTTTCTTAGGTGGTGCGGTAGTGATGGCCAAACTGGCTAGGTCCGGCCCGGGACCGGTAAGGACCGCTTATAGGACCGAAATTTGGGACCGGTTATGGATTTGGGGTGTTTTGCGGGACCGGGACCGGTTATGGCTCGGCCCGGCCCGATTTTTAAAAAATGTAGTTATTTTTTTAAAATGTAGCCGTTTTTTGGTCTTTTTTTGTATTTTTTGCTTTCTAAACACTATATATAAGTGTATTGGTTGAGAGATTTACATACCGAGTTCTCGATTCGTAAAAAAGGCAAAAAAACGTTCACAATTATCGGTTTCTCGTTATATTTTGTAAGACAATGGTATTTTAATCATAATAAAACACATTTTTAAAGTGTATTTGAATGACCCAACTACAAATTTCATAATGTATTAAAAAATAAAAAAAATATTTTTTAATGACCGGGACCGACGGCCCATAACCGATTACAATAAAGCTTGACCAGGCTCAACTTTTTTGAACGGGACCGGGACCATTACGAGAAATCTCGGGATCGGTTGAGCCCGGCCTGGCTCGGAACCAGTTTTTGCTCTGAGGATTGAAGGAAGATAGTGCATCAAGCTGTTCACAAGGGCCAACTTGACCATCACTACGGGTGTCTGCCTCCAAAATTTCGGCTTCATTAAGCTTTAAGACCTGGTTTAGGTCGGGCTTCGGGCTTACTAGGCTCCGGTAATTATCGAAAGGGCTTTATGGAAACAGGCTCGGGCTAGGCTTAACGGTTTCGAACTTGGATTTTCTTTGTACGTCTTTATTAAGAGGATAAATAGTTTCTTAGAATACATATCTATACTATCTTATAATACATTTGACTAAAACTCTTAAACTCTTAAAAAACTCTTAAACTCTTAAAAAAACTCTTAAACTCTTAAAGAAACTCTTAAACTCTTAAAAACCCAATCCCTTATCTATCGCTATCCAACCCAACTAGCGTATCCCTAAACCCCCGCCAATCCCCTGTTTATCGCTATCCAACCCAATTTGATTTCATCTAAACAATTTCATCGCCCTAACCCCATTCGATTTCATCGCTCTAACCGAATTCGATGAAATACACCCTAAACGATTCGATTTAATCCCTAAATATTCTGAGATGAGGTCTTCTACCCTAAACTGTGCGTATACATTCCCCACCTATATATACAGAAGATACTTCATTGTACAGTCATTTTAAATAGCAAACAACCAACCAATTTGAAATGTAAAAACAAATATACCACATGGTCAGTCATTATTTATGTTATTGCTTGCATGTTGTAGGCTGTTGTGCTTTATCAGGGACTTGAGGATGATCTTCTACCTTCGACAACGGCTAATTTCTCTAATAAAGGTAGTCTTTCTGTCCTTATGTTATTTTTATCTCACGTTGCATTTTGCCTATAGTTTTTTTGTGCATTGCTTTAGAACTCACTTTTTAGATTAATTCTTGAGATCTGACCAGTTGCCCATACGAAGCGTAGATGTTACTAGGCAGAAATGCAGTCCCCTAAGACTACACCCTCCTTTAAGTTTAGTTTTTGGACAGGAGCTTTGTATGTATATGGATACATTAGAGAATGCAAACATCAACAATCATTCTTGTTCCTACTGTTGCTTCTGTCCAAGAACCTGCTGTTATATGTTGGACAAAATAGTGATGGCATGTGCCTGCTGCCTGCTGTTGAAACTATGTAGTATAAACAAAGAACAAATCACCAATRTAACATTGTTCTAAGCTCCTACCTGTCTTAATTAATTAACAAATGCAGATGTAATGTTTTTATAATGCTTAATGTACATATTCAACTCATTTCTTACGTCGTTAAACCTAAATACATATTCAAGTCATTCCTTGTATAATCGTGATTGGATTGAACAGGAAGAACAAGCGAATTTCCAAGGGAAAGAAGGGAGTCAAGAAGAAAGCGGTAGTTCTTTTTATCTGTGTGTGACAAGTTTATGATATTTTTAGTCTCTGGAACTCTTTAAGTCAAGAAGAAAGCTGATCCTTTTTCCAAGAACGATTGGTATGATATCAAAGCTCCATCACTATTCAGCGCCAGAAATGTTGGTGGTCATGAGGTTGCTCTTCATGCTGTTGAGAAGGTAATGCCAACCATGGTTTCCCTTTTTGTCACTTTGTTAAGTTTTTATTGTATGTTATTTTATTTTATTGTACGTCTAGGATCGATTGAACATTGTCATTGTAGAAGCAAGAAACTCGATTTCAGGATCCCCTTGGGTGAATTGTATTTTTCTTCTGTGCATTAGATTTATATATTTGAGAAAATATAGCATTTTCATTGTAAGCACATAGACTGAGATATTGATTTAACTTGCGTATTTGTCAAGATTTATTTATACTTAGTTCAACTGTTGSTGTAAATCTCTTCGTTACATTAGGGAAGTTCACTGAAGTTACAAACTAGAATTTCTATGACGAGCCTAAAGTTATCACTGTTTTTGCTTTTTAATTTTGATGCATACAGTAGTGATGTTMTTTTACATGGCAATGAAAGGGCTAGACCAATAGCTTGTGATGTTTGAACTTAAATTAAAGATATCCTATTTACCCTGTAGCTTTTCCTCTAAGGACATGATCCAATTTGCTTCACATTACTTATTATGAGAATAAGTTGTATTCTGTCCCTCCTACAAACATGGATTTTTGGATGATTAAATTTGAATTTCGCCTCTGCAGGGTCTGAAAAACTGCCATCATCGAAGGTGATGTGGTTGGTGGAACATGTGTTAATCGTGGTTGTGTTCCTTCCAAAGCCCTTCWTGMTGTCAGTSGTCGCATGTGGGAGCTTCAGAATGAACACCATATGAAGTCTTTTAGTTTACAGGTATCTCTATTACTTGGTACATAAATGTTATTTAACTTGTAGCATTTATACATACTGTCTTTCATATATGTCTGTCTAGATTTGACATGTTGGATTTGTATGTTACCTTAGGGTAGCTATGGTGTTCTAGGAGGAGTTCTCCATGTTATTCTCTCAAATTTTCTATATTTGTTGGAGCATTAACCATTTTTAAAAGCAATATTAAATCGGAGAAGTATGGTTGGATAGGAAGGTMTTAGAACTTTCATTGAGATCATGTTTTGTGCACTTGAAACCTGTTGGTAAAACTAAATAGGTGATAATCATGAACCATTCATAGTTCTGGCCTTAAACACAACTGAATGTGAAATTGAGCTGGTTAGATTTCAGTACAGTCTCAAAGCTTATTTCAAGCTTTAGAGCTGGTTAGATTTCAAAACAGGAAAAATTTCTTTGTCTTTCATTTCTCTCATGTTCTTCCATTTATTTTTGTGTTCTTTACTACTGTTTGTCTTTTGTTGAACTTCTTGTTTGCTCAAACCATGACATAGTATTGATCACAGGTTCTATAATTAATTACCATTCGTTTAGGGTCGTAAGCGAATTAAATATGAAACATCTATAACTATATGTATATGTGAGTGGTAGCGCTACAACTTACAAGTAGACATGGAGATAAGTCCAAATAGCTAAGTCCATCTACGTTGGGAATACTTTTGTTGCCCTWTTATTACTCTGCCATCTAAGTCCATATTTAAGTCTAATAACCATTCCAATGCTTGATTTCCACTGTTGTGGCTGCCTGCTGGTTGCAAAATCCAGTATTTATATCAATACTTCCATTGTTTTGGACCAGCGATCAAGGCAAAAACTTTCAATGTGAGTCACACCATCACAACTTAATTCACAGTTCTGTCCCTACTGTTTGCATTCGACTATTCTACATTGTGCAAAGTTGTCAAGTATGTTTTTACCATGTTGGCGTATCCTTTTCTTCTATTGAAGGGTGAAACACAAGACCTTCTATTTATTGCAACAAGAAGGTACAAGTTTTTTGTTCTTCAATGGGTGTTGATGCAAACGAGGTTGTTACTAGGTTCGATTTTACGTGGAAGCTAAAATATATTTTCAACAGCATAATCATATTCTTTTGTTACCAAAGGATTTGTATTGCATCATTTTCTGTTGCATCTGGTTTATAGATAGATAGGAAAATGTTTCTGTATTTAGAACTTGTGTACTTTTTATGTTCATTTACTYACCTGAGATGATTTTAGGTAAATAGTGAGTGTGGTTTAGAGCATTAGCATACAGGTCTCTAGCATCAACATAACGTCAAGCGAAGTCAAGGATCCAACACTGATGGGTTTATGCTGTAAATAGATACATATAAATCTTCAACTACATGCCATATGTTGCTGTTGATCACTATAGCAAATAAACATTAGCTATTGAAAATTGAAAGTTCAAATGCTCCAGTCTCTTCCCAACATGTGGGTTTACTTTATCATCTTATTGAATTTTTTGTTCAATCTACATGCAACATATTGCTGTTGACCATTAGCATAATATTTCTTTTTGTAAACAGAAAGGTCTGCGTTGATTTTATCTTCTCCATGTTATTTTCATCTGCTTTGCAAGATTGTATTGACCAGATTATAAACATAATATTGTGTGGCAGTGAAGGACTGAAAGATTGAGGATTATGAGATTGTCGCTTGTGAGGAAAGTAATATTGCTACAGTAATGTGGTGAATTGGGTCTGTTTTCCGGACTTCAGGTGATGGGAACAATTTCAATAGATATACTTTGTATCTCAATGTAACTTGTTGAAGCTTTATACAATTTATATCTTGCATGAATGAAAGAAWTTGAATTTTAAGAAAGATGCCCCCTCTTATATTAGTTGACTTGCAAAATAATCAAACAAACTCATGATTTAAGGTCAAACTAATGTTTCAGAATTGTGATTCACCCCTGCTGCATCGCACGGGTACACCACTAGGATACCATTTTGATGACGACTCTTACCCGAGTAAGATTGTAGTACACTAGGATACCCGATAAATGAGGATGACGACTCTTACCCGGGTAAGTGCTTACGGGGTAAATTGTTGGTTAGTTGGAATTTGAAGGAGGGCGTGGTTGGATGCTCTAATCTATGCTATTACTACAGTCAAAATCTTAAATAGCGGTTATCGCAATGGTAAAACGGTGATATAACAGTCAAAGTATAGCGGTTCATGTAATCATTGCAATAAAAAAGACGCAATATTTATMTTGATATATTCTATTTCGGTGGTTGTGATCTCATCATTTTGATTAAAGATGGAATAGAAACAAGTTAGTAGAAATGCACTAGAAGTGGATTATGAGTCAAAATAAGAGCTCGTCATTAAATACAATTTGATAGCAAAATGGCTAAAGACTCGTGATCAAATGGATTCGATGACGTACAGTATCTTATTTCTTATTTGAAGGAAGAAAAAGGAAAACTATAGGCACAAGAAATTGAACATATGTATAGTGGGCCCTGATGAAAATACGATGCTGATTATAATGAGTATTTCACACATATTCTAAAACCAAATCCTGAGATTCTTGTTCATATTTAAAACCAAAGGCTTTGGATTCATAGCACACCACACAAATATGCCTCCAAGCTTAGCTTGCCTATTCAACTCTCTGCAGGCCTCAAAGAATCCATCATTAGGAGGCAAACCTAAGTGACCTTTGCTTATGAATTTGGCTAGAAGTTGACTTCCTGCATAACTTGAATCTTGATGATTAAAGTGATATATAAACTGTGAAACATTAAGCTTATCGTATGCGTAAAACTGGTAATTCACGTAATCTATAACATGTCCATATTTCTTCCATAAAGCCAAGTAATGACTTTGAACAGGTTCATTATCTTCGTAGGGGGAGATAGAAGCAAATTTGATGGTTTGGCTTTTCTTTAGAATCGTTATAAGTTGTCCTATACATAGTCGAGGTCAATACCATTCAAATTGTAATGCATTTTTTGGTGGTGTTATAATTTATGGATATACTCCAATCGGAGATTCTCCCAAAGCTTTGATTGTTCCCAGGTGCTGTTGAGACATTCAGTTTTATCAATATTGGTAAATGTCAAAGGCAATGTGTTATCAACATAAATATTTTTTATTGTATCGAGTATTTATAGTCTTCTACCCCTACCACATAAAATTTCATAAAATTGTATTCTTTAAAAAATTCGCCCTACGGTTCAAGGAATTTCGAGGAACTTTTTGTTTGTTGTTCATCTAACCTGTCTGTATACACAGACATAGTGTAATTAGTTTAAAAAGCTGATAAAAATGCAAAACCTAGCAAGTTGAAAATTTTAGCGCTTAACTCGGATTTGATGAAATTGCTCGTAGATCATCCAAGTGTAACTTATAGCATCGTTAAATCTTCTCTAATAAAACCAGTGAAACTTCAAAATCGTTAAAATTCACGGCTCCCGCCGCATTGCGCGGGTACACAACTAGTATATATATATATATATATATATGGCTTGTAATATTGAATATAAGAGAAGAGGCGAGCCGAGTCGAGTCGCACCAGCCACCCATTGCAACCCTAACACATATAACGCACCCTCGCAAATAATTGCTCCTTTCGTTTCATCATCACTCCCATCCTTCTCCTGTTCTTGTTATTTTTCGTATCTTGCTTCCACCATTGCTAGCTGATCTCCATAAATCTCACTTTTCTCAATTCATATCATCATCATATACCACCAATTCGGCATCGGAAAGTAAGCTATCCATCTATCCGTCTATATGCAACCGTATATTCCTTAACGCAAGTTTGTAGTCAGTTTTTATAATTTAAGATTATGTCGATTTGATTCGATGTTGCACGGATTAATCTGAAAGTATTTTTTTTAATGTTTATTGTTGCTTGTAGATTTGGATTCGGATTTTAAGATGTACGCGTATATATTCTTTTTCATGTAGTCTGATTTTAAAATTTTATTATGTGTTTTTAGGGTTCTTCAAGGTGGTGCTTTTAGTTTCTACTGGTGATTTTGGACTAGTTTATTTGTCGAAATAATATTAGACTGATGGGAAGAAAGAAGCCGGCTGCTCGGGAGGAGGATGGGGTTGTGGGTGGGGGCAAGTCGAGAAAGAAAGCTGTAGTAATTGACGATGATGAGTATTCTTTTGGAACGGAATTATCTGAGGAGAAACCAGTTCAGGAAGAAGAGCATGTTGCGCCAGTTGCTGGTAAGAAAAAGGGTAAGAAGGGTAATCAGAAGAATTTGCGTGTAAATGATGATGAAGAAGATGTTGAGGATGATCAGGAGATTCAGTTTACTGGGAAGAAGAAACCAAGTTCGAAGGCGAAAAAGGGTGGGAACTCGTTTGCTGCCTCGGGTTTTGCATTACTTGGTGATGAAGATGATGAAACTTCTGATGTAACTAAGGACGAAGAAGATGATGTTAGTGAGGAAGAGGATGCTAGCGTCGTCTTTAGTGGGAAGAAGAAGTCATCGAAGTCGAAAAAGGGTGGTAGTTTGTTTACTGGTTCTGCATTTGATGCAATTGGGGATGATGATGGGGATTTAGTAGACAATTCAGGATCGAAACAACAATCTGAGGATGAAGATGACGAGCCAATTATTTCTTTTACGGGGAAGAAGAAATCATCCAAATCTAATAAGAAACCCAGCGGTAGTATCTTTTCAGCGTCACACTTTGATGGGCTTGATGAGGGAGAGAATGAGAAAGGAAGTGATGTGGATGACCAAGATGATGCGCCCGTTACCTTCTCGGGTAAGAAGAAGTCTACCAAGTCGTCAAAGAAGAAAAACAGTCCATCTGATATTGCATTAACTGGTGGAGGGACAGATGAAGAAGTCTCGGTTTCTGGATTAAGTATTGATGATGTTGCCGATCGCGATGAAGATTCTTCAATAAAGTTTTCTGGGAAAAAGAAGCCATCCAAGAAGAAAAATAGCAACACTGTTGATGCAGCTGATGAACATGAACAGCCTAGTACTAGCATTACTAGCAAAGAAGCTGATGTCCCAGAAACTTCCAAAAATAAAAAGAAGAAAAAGAAGGGTGGAAGAACAGCCCAAGAAGAGGATGATCTTGATAAAATTCTTGCCGAACTTGGTGAAACTCCTGCTCCTGCTCCTGCTACTGTACAACAGCCACAAGAGGAGAAGGTTCAACCTCAGGCGGAACCTGCCACAGTAGCAGATGAAGGTGGTGAAAAGGATGCAAATGAAGAGACTGTAGAGTCTGCAGCAGCAAAAAAGAAGAAAAAGAAGAAGGAAAAGGAAAAAGAGAAGAAGGCTGCGGGAGGAAAGACAACTGCAGCCCCTGCTGTAGAAGAAAAACAAGCAGAATCAAAGAGTAAGGTACCTGATAAGAAGGTCCCAAAACATGTTAGAGAGATGCAGGAGAGACTTGCCAGGCTTAAGGAAGCAGAGGAAAAAAAGAAGAGGGAAGAAGAGGAAAAGCTAAGGAAGGAAGAAGAGGAGCGTCAGAGGCAAGAAGAACTTGAAAGGATCGCTGAAGAGAAAAAGCGATTGAAGAAGGAAAGAGAAAAGGAAAAGATGTTAAAGAAGAAACAAGAAGGGAAACTATTGACAGCAAAGCAGAAGGAAGAAGCCCGCCGATTGGAGGCAATGAGAAATCAAATACTTGCAAATGCTGGTGGTTTGCCTCTACCAACTGGAGACACTAGTCGTGCACAAACAAAACGGCCCAAGTACCAAACAAAGAAGTCAAAGTCACATCCCCAGGCGAACGGCAAAGCTTCTTCCACCAAGGCTACTGAAATTACTGAAGCAAGGGACAACCAGGAGGACAATGTCTCAGAGTTGGGTTCTGTAGAAGCAGAGAAGGCTGATGATGTGGACATGGAAAATATGGAGGCTCCGGCAGTTGAAGAAAATGGGAACAAAGAAGATGAGGAGGAAGATGATGAATGGGATGCAAAGAGTTGGGATGATGCCGATCTCAAATTGCCAGGTATAAGTGCATTTGCTGATGAGGAGGAAGTTACTGAAGCTGAACCTAAACATAAACTCGAACCTGTACCTGTAGTTAAAAAGGAGATTAAGAGTGCTTCTAATAGTTCAGTGGTTCCTCATCTGACCAAGGAATTGCATCAAAATCTTGAGAGCAAGGAAATTCCGCCTGCAACAGTCGTTGCAAACAAAGGTAAACAACAAGATGTTAAGGGTAAAAAGGAAGAGAAGAAGGAAGAAGAGGGTGAAAAGACACTCCGATCCCCAATTTGCTGCATTATGGGTCACGTCGATACTGGGAAAACCAAGTTGCTTGACTGTATTCGGAGGACTAATGTTCAGGAAGGTGAGGCTGGAGGAATCACCCAACAAATTGGTGCCACTTACATTCCGGCTGAGAACATTCGTGAAAGAACGAAAGAGTTGAAAGCTGATGCAAAGCTCAATGTCCCTGGGCTATTGGTTATTGATACACCTGGGCACGAGTCCTTCAAGAACCTGAGGTCTCGAGGTTCTGGCTTATGTGATATCGCCATTTTGGTTGTTGACATTATGCATGGTTTAGAACCTCAAACCATTGAATCACTAAATCTATTGAGAATGAGGAACACAGAGTTTATTGTGGCCCTGAATAAGGTGAGTTGGAATTCAATATATGGTGCCGTTGCTATGAACTTTGTTCTGTTGCTTATTTCTCTTGTCTGATTTTTGTACATTGTATTGTGGGACTGTAGGTTGACAAATTATATGGGTGGAAAACTTGCCGTAATGCACCGATTGGGAAGGCAATGAAGCTACAATCCAAGGACGTTCAGCTTGAATTCGAGCATAGAGTCACTCAGGTCATTATGCCCCAACATATTTCTTTCTCCATCCAACTCTGATGCATAGCAAATCTCAGTTTTCTTTCCTGACTGGCTTTCTCATGATTTGTGCTTTGTAACCTTCAGGTAATTACAGAATTTAAGGAGCAAGGATTGAATACCGAATTGTACAACAAGAATAAAGACAGGGGAGAAACTTATAGTATTGTGCCTACAAGTGCTATCAGGTAGTTTTCTTACCCCAGCTGTTTTCCTCATCTTTTGTTTGATCTACTGCAACACACCACTTGATACTAAATTTTTTAACCAAAATTTGTGCTCTTATTTTTGGCAAAACAGTGGGGAAGGCATACCTGAAATGTTACTACTACTTGTCCAGTGGGCTCAGAAGACGATGGTAGAAAAACTTACATACAGCAGTGAAATTCAGGTATATCTTCTTTTCCACCTGTTTCCTGTTTTGAGAGTTTTGGGTTATGATTCTGATTTTTTGGCATGGACATCTTCTTAGTGTACGGTGTTGGAGGTTAAAGTCATAGAAGGCCTTGGAACAACCATTGATGTGGTATTGGTTAACGGTGTGCTTCATGAAGGAGATGAGATCGTTGTTTGTGGCTTTCAGGCAAGTGCAAATACTTTGTTGGTACATTCAAGTTACTAATGTGGTAGCTCTTATTTAACAAACGATGCCTGCGCAGGGTCCAATCCATACTTCAATCCGATCATTGTTGACTCCCCATCCAATGAAGGAACTCCGAGTGAAGGTGCAGATCTCTTTGATTCTTTTCTGGCCTTTTAAATTTGATACATTTCTGTTTGGAATTCATTTTCGCTTTAGAGTCTGTATGAAGATATTCTGAATGCTTGCACAAGTATGGTTATGGTGAGAGTATTGTGGGTGATCTTGTGCATGAGGAAACGAGGATGTTCTTAGATATAGTTTTTGCAGTTCAGTGTATGCGTCTCCGTTTAAGGATTGAAACCCTCCTCTAATGATTCATGTGTTTAACTTAAGATATTGTCTACTATTCAAACATAATGTTGGACTGCAATCTGCTCTTGGCAGTGCACATGTATTTATGTTCATCTTGTGGCGAGTTCATATTATATTTGGACCTTTGGGTTTAGACCTTTTCCAAAGGTTTGATGTTATGAATTTTAACAGTGAATTGGAACTATATTACTGATTTCCTTAACAATATAAAGCTTTGCTGTACTATATTCTTTTTGGACATTGCAAGTATGTCTTGATTTTATTTAGGATGTTGTCTCAAGAAGGTATGATAAGGGCACTTGGCCAATATTGACTATCATACACAAATGAGAAGTAATACCAACAATTATGTTGGGGTAGTCGAATGTGTATGGACTAGCATTCATAGCATATTATGTAGTTATCTACTTATCTTGGGCATTGATGAATTTGCTTTTGTTGCTTGATACAGGGAGCCTACATTCATCACAAAGAAATCAAAGCTGCACAAGGGATCAAAATTACTGCACAGGTGATGTTAATTTTCAAAATGAAAAATGAACTTGCTTGATTTTCTCTTGAAGGCATAATTTCTTTTCCCTCTGTTCTAATTAGAACAGTAAACAAAACGTTCCCTTTTTCTTTGGGTCAACATAAGTTCATCTATTTCATTGTTCTTGACATTAAGAGGTCATGGGAAATATTGAACTTGAGGCAGAGATGCTGGGGAAGAAGAATGAACATTGTTGAGACCTAGATGTTCTGTTGGATAAAAACAACTTACTTTCGGAGGAAGAAAACCTTGCCTTTGAATATTGTTGTTTAATCACTCTAAACATTTACCTGCCCTGTATGCATGCCAATTGTTTCTTCAATTAGATGATTGAGGAGTCTTTTGAGCTGCATACTGTAGATGCCATGTCTTTTGAGAAACACGTTTCACCAACATTTCAACTTGATTCCATCAATCACTTAGATGGTCGGTGGAGTAATTTAACTGTGTTTAACATGTTTTTCTTCCCTTGAACAGAATCTTGAGCATGCGGTGGCTGGGACCGCCCTATATGTGGTAGGGCCTGATGATGATGTGGAAGAAATCAAGGAATCAGTCATGGACGATATGAGGAATGTTATGAATAGGATTGATAAAAGCGGTGAAGGAGTTTACGTTCAAGCATCTACTCTTGGATCATTGGAGGCATTGCTGGAGTTTCTAAAGACTCCAGCAGTAAGCATACCTGTTAGTGGTATAGGTATAGGTCCCGTTCATAAGAAGGATGTCATGAAGGCTAGTGTCATGCTAGAGAAGAGAAAGGAGTTTGCAACAATCTTAGCTTTTGATGTCAAAGTGACCCCAGAGGCCCGGGAGCTGGCAGACGACCTTGGCGTCAAGATTTTCATAGCTGATATCATTTACCACTTGTTTGATCAATTTAAGGCTTATATGGATAATCTAAAGGAAGAAAAGAAGAAGGAAGCTGCTGAAGATGCAGTATTTCCATGTGTTCTCAAAATCATGCCAAACTGCGTGTTCAACAAAAAAGATCCAATTATTCTGGGGGTGGATGTTCTTGAGGGTATTCTTAAGGTAAAATCATTTTACTACAATCTTAGCCGGAAAAATTGAGACTATTTATTATCATCATGACCATGGTTTTTATTTTGTTCTTGATGGAAAACAAAACTGATGAACATAAAGGAACAAGATAGTTGCTGCATTGTTAACGTGCCCTCACTATTCATGTATTACCATGTTAGTTAGAAGATCTTTGCTAGGATGTGCTCTAGCTCTGCCAAAGTGTTAAGTTCACTCATGGAGTAACTGATAAGATGCGCATGACTGGTTGATATGTGGGGTTTTAGGGTTGGGAGGGGTTTGCTATGTTATACCGGGAACTATGGATGTGATAAATTATGTAGCATGCTTTTGTATCTGTTTTGTCCTTCTGTATTATTTCTTTTCTAAGATTACAGAATTTTACTTCTTGAATTCTCTTAGTGAACATGCTTTCGGCCTTTGGTGCCCTGTCCTAATGTTTCCCAAGTGTGTTACTTTCTGTTACCTTTTTTGTAAATATCCACCCATAGTGTAGGGCTTGAAAGTGGTAATGTGTTGTCCGCCAATAGCATATCCAACAGGTCTAAGCACTGCATAAAACGTGTGAGGGTGGGGATCCAGTTGCACTATATGATATCGTCTTGAACTGATGTAATGCCAGATATATTGCTCCTAACGAAAATAACTGGTACTATTGATGGCATCTTAGTTGGTCATTGCCATACATTTGAGAGACCACTGTTATTGGGCTTTGATAATAGAAGTGTTCCACCTTCATCAATTTTCTGCTTTATACATAATGAATGCCACAAGTTAATACTCGTGAGTCTGGCAATCACAATGTGGAATGATTCCAAATAATCACAAACCCAAGGACTACCCCTTCTCCCCATGTGCTTCCTTCCTCGCCAAGTGACGGTCACCGTTGTGTTGCTTTCATCGTCTGCCATTGCCCTGCCTCCCTTCCTAAGTCATTGTCGCCTTCGCCTTGCCTCCCTTGCCAAGCCATCATTGATGTCAGCTGCTTCCATTCCTGAGGCGCCATGTCACAGTTGCCCTGCCTCCCTTCCTGAGCTTTTGTTGTCATCGGCCTGCCTCCCACCCTTAGTCGTCATCCTGCCTTCCTCCCTTAGTCGTCATCCTGCCTTCCTCCCTTAGTCGTCGTGTCACTGTGGAGTAAAGAATTGATAGCCAAGCCTAACTACCAAATCAAACAATAGTATTGGAAATGATACCCAAACTCATACCCATTCACCCTGCAATCAAACCCATACCTATAGTGATTCCAGGGCAATGAACCAAACACCGATGTAAATCTCATGCCATGGAAATTTTGAGGTGTGGCACTTCTCCATGCCTACTTTGGGGAAAAGGCGGAGTGTCGTTGCGCCATAAATTATAACCTTTTATTGAAAAAATTATGATCTGATATCATGGGGTCTCTTAGGCTTCTGTTTTTTGTTTATGTTTACTTCCTTGAAGTTTATGTGGCTTTCACTATACTGATATGATCATTCAAGAAGCTCGAATACTTTAACAGCTATCTATAGATTTTGGATTACGGTTGCCTACTTTCGCATTTCAGAATTCTTGTTTTTCTGTTTTTTCCAATCTTAACATTGATATAGTCTTGTTTGTTTTCTCTTTCTTGTGATCCCCTCTTTCCCTCTACACTGGTGTCCATCTTTTTTCCTGAGAATTGTAGTTGGTCCCAGCTTTTCTATGCCTTTGCAATGAAACACTGAGCTAGCAAAATGGCATATGTTTATTTTTCACGTGTTAGAAGTAAATATATTAGTCTACTATGAAGATTCTTTTGGTGCTATTTACTCTTGTGTGGCGACTATCACACAAGACATGTTTTGCTATACAAAAAATAACTACCGTCTTTTTTCTTCTAATCTTAAAAAAGTGTTTTTTTGTCTATGGGCCTAGCAAAACAAAATTTGGGATTGTGTAAACATTGTCAACAATGTAAAATATGCTTTCCTTCATATACTCGAAATAAAATACAGAAATAGGCGAAAAACTCGAATGAAAAGACAAATGACCCTGCATCTTTTTTACCTCTCCTGCATTTTTTTTTGTATATCAGATTTACGATGAAAATTCTGAACGAAATAAAAAAATCTAAATAAAAAATTCTAATCTATTTGGAACAGAAAAAATGACTAAATCAACTTGTCACTCTAAAACACATATATTATGCTTGAATCTAATTGGCTTTGCCTTCTATTCTTTTTATTTTATAAGTAAATTTTAGATTTTCTGTGCTGCTGCACCATGCTTCATGGCTTACTTTTGGATTGACGCCATGCTCATGATATGATACAACATGTTCGTTTGCTATTATTTACTGTTTCTTACCACAATATTGTATTATCGCTATGCCATTGAAGTCCATTTCCAATCAAAGCCTGCTGTATTTTTTAAATCTTGTACTAGTATTTGCTCTTTGAAATTATGTTAATAATGGCAAATTTCATTTCAATGTCCACATGAGATGTTTTGCCGTGCATAGTATTTTCTTATAGTTGGCAACTTTACCTACCATGAAGAAGCACTGGCTCTAGGCTGCATGTTAGTCTCCATTTAGTGCATCATCTACTAGTTGCACTTCCGAAAGGATCTTAGTTGTTGGTAAAGATATTATTCTTGGAATGTAGAGCCCTTGGTGGAAACATATTCCTCCACTACTTCTTTTCTTTCAATGAGTGTCTTGTTTAGAAACCAGCTTATCCTATAGTTAGTATTAACTAATATTTGGTCAAGTATATCAGAAGTAGAATATCACATTCTTAATGGTCTACATGCTTACCTTCTTGTTTACAGTTCCAGTCTTGTTACTTTGTCACCCTTGATGATTTGGCTGGTGCTCAACTTGTATTATTATGCTCTCAGTTGGATTACTTGAGAAATTCTTTGGGAAGCTAATATTACCGTGCTTATTGGCTGAATCAATGTTGTTTGTGTTTGCATTACATGGATGGATGAAAGTGGATACTAGTTTAATCATCGTGGTCAATTACTCTTTTGGATAGGTGGCCTGAATCATAATCACAGCATATGCTAACGAATGACAATATTTATTTATTATTTTTCGATTAAGCTATCCTATACTCATTTATATCAGCTGCAGAAGGAGCTTCTTTCGTATTTGTAAATTCTTTAAAACACCTTCCAATTATTTTCTTGGCTGCTTCTTTTCTATGCGCATAGCTAAATTATTTTTTGTCTAATTATGGATTCACCATTCAGTGTAAAATGTCCCTGACGACATACCTTCTGTCAAATTCTTATTCTGTGCAGATCGGAACTCCAATTTGCATTCCTCAGAGGGAATTCATTGATATTGGACGGATCTCTTCCATCGAGAATAACCACAAGCCAGTCAGTTATGCCAAGAAAGGACAGAAGGTGGCTATCAAGGTATGAAACTATGCCTTATTGTATTATATATCTAATTTGTTCCGAGGGTCATATGCTTCTCGATCGTTCAGCAATATCAACTCAAAAATGTTCTACTTTTAACTTATACCGCACCTTAAAATCACATACAGCAAAATTTGATGTGGAACGACCCAATGATATATCACATATACTCCCTCTATCCGGAAATAAATGTCCACAATAAAAAAACATAGTTTAAGATATACGTCATTATTACACTTTTTAAATTAACTGAATGATAGTTTTACCCTTAATGATAGTGACAAACCCTCTCTCTACATCTCATCAACTCTTAAATATCCGTGCTCTCATAATTAAGGGTAGAGTTGGAAAACATAATAAATTATAGCTACGTTTTTTCTAAAGCGCACACTTATTTTGGGCTAATCATGCTCTATCTTTCTGGTTCAACCTTGTTGAAGGATCTCACCTTACAATGCCTTTCTACATACATGATACTCCCTCTGTCCCAAAATGAATGTCCACTATGAAAAAGACACGTGGAAAGTCAGGCCTGCCTACATTTTGCTCGGTTGGGATGTACTGTGTTCATATGGGTTATTTAGAAAACAGGTGTAGTTTGTGCTTATATTTGCATTGACAGATAACGGGAAGCAACGCTGAGGAGCAACAAAAAATGTTTGGGAGGCATTTTGAGATGGAGGATGAGCTCGTCAGTCGTATCTCGAGGAACTCAATTGACATACTCAAAACAAATTATCGGGTATGTAAAACATTGAACAATCCCATTATTTGAGATACTGATGGTTAGGTTGTTCACCGTCTGTATTTCTTTTTGCAGGACGAGTTGTCCAACGAAGAATGGAGGCTGGTTGTCAAACTGAAAAACCTCTTCAAGATACAATGAGTTTTGTGTTTCCTGCATGCTTTTGGTTTTCCGATAAGGCGTGGTTGCGGCAGCAGCTTCACATAAACAGAGAGAAGTTTAACTTAAAAACGACAATGTGATGACGTTCTTCTCCATGATGGTGAAAAAGCCCGAATCTCAGAAACAGGTTTGCGAGAATTTTGTGTCTCTCGATTTGTTGTGTTACAAGTAATATTTATGAGAGCGCTGTGTTTAAAAATCCGAAGGATTCGAGTTTTTTTGCGATGGAAAACTTGTTTTGGATTTTGAAATCTTTGGTGGTTTTGGTCTTAATTGAATAGATAGTTAATTTCAGGACAAAAAGACTTCTACATGAGGTAATGGTGTTTTAAAACATGTATTTTGAGGGTGCATTTGATACCTAGACATGATACGACAGGAAATAACAAAAACATGTCTTACATTTGGTGAGAGATCAGATTGGGTCAGGACAGGACATGGTAGGATGGGATTGACTGTTTTTTATCTGACAAACTACTATACTACTGATGGCAAATTAAAATCCTAAGACATTCCATAATTCTTTCACCGAACCATTCACGGATCGACAGTTCGACACTGGTTACAAATTTTATGGAATTTCATTATCTATAGGATTTATTTTTCAGTTTTTATTAATTATAATGAGATTTTTCTTCTCAAAGTCTTCCAAGTTCAGTTTTTTTCCAAGTAAATGCTTTAAAGTGTATTAAATGCGAAATTTTAAATATCATAATTTAAAAGCATTAATAATATTTTTGGGTAAAATAGATTTAAAGTTTATATATTTTTATTTAGAATAAGCATGGGACTGGGGTGGGGACCGCAATTCCCATCCCAGTCTCTGCTGGAAATACGACCCCATCTCTGTCCTCGATAGGAAGCGGGGATTTCTAATGCGGAATTGGGGATTTTCTTTCTTTGTTTATGTGAGATATTTTAAAATAAATGTGTTAAAATACAACATTCGATTAAAAATAGTCAATTGTAGTTTTAAAATTTTGTTTTGATAGGGTATCAAATATTCATATGTGAACAAAATTATAACATCGTATAATAAGTCTAAAACCAAAAGGAATTTAATTTAATACAAGGAACACTGAACAATTATAGTAATACTATGCGTCCATGTTCACTTATACGAACCAAAACATATCGAGTAATATCTAGAAAATTAAAACATCATACGTAATCAGTGGGATTGGGGTGGGAATGGATTCCCTCCTTGATCCCCAAACTTCGTCCAGGTCCTCGCTCGATCCTCAGTTTTATGGGGAATCTTCGATCCTGGTCGGGACGAGTACATCGGATATCTCAATGGAGCTAGTCTCATTCCCATGCCTAGTTTATGACCTGGTTTGGAAATGGTTACCACACCTATGACCGTTGAGATTGGCTTGGTCCAGGACCCGTTTTGGCCATCTCTACCAAACACATTAAAGAATTGTTTGTTTTGAACTTGATTGATTAAGTTATATTAACGTGTTTGGTTTTAATTTAATACTAAGAGATGGAATTAAAAGGTAAATAGCTTACCAAGAAATGCATAAATTAAATATTATAATCGAACAATATTATTTAGTTTTGAATATATTTGAAGTTATTAAATTTATATACTTTAAATAATTTATATTATTTTAATTTTAGTCATTCAAAGTATTTATCATTTTTTTTGGATTAACCTGGATATCCAAATCGCTATGCGAACCGACTAATCCCAGAGCGATCACCTGCTTTGCAGATAGTCCGAAGTCACCGCATTTGAACCTCCGTGGCCACAAGAGGATTTTTATTCCTTATTGGATTTGAACCTGAGACCTCCAGGTACTTTTGACCTTTGGAGCCAAGCTCAAACCAATCAGGCACCACCTTTATGGTTTTCAAAAATTTATTTTCTTTCAACACATATGTAGATAGAAGATTAAAATGATAATTTTTGTTATTCAGACTATTTATTCGGAATAAAATCAAACAACAATCTATATTAATTCATTCAGACAGATTACTATTTATAGAAAATTTAACAGATTTAGTCATTCAAAGCTTGATCGATAAAAAAATCAAACAGCTCCTTAAGTGTGTATGATATCCAAAATACCAGTTACGTGACTTGAAACCACCACCTCCCTCCCTTCTTTTCAGTTGTCTTACATTTTTTCGAATGAAAAAAAAAGACAAATAATAGTCACTGCACATGTGCAACTTGTGTTGCAAACGTCTAAATGATGTTTAAAAATATGCATTTCAGGTGGTTTTATTTAACACAATACGTGTTGAAATGCGATATTATTGTTGATGTGTTAGAAAGATCAACACAAATAACAATCGTTGAGTCATTTATGCTATAAACTTTGGGTCTTTTAACAGAGAAGTTATAAAGCCAATCGCATTATATGATACCCTTTCTTTATTCCTTAAATCAAATTTTGATGTGTAAAAGTATGAATTCAATACATATCTGCAAGGGGGTAATTATGTAAATTTAGAGCATCTCCAACAGCTAAAATAGAGATTTTGGTGTTTTAGAGATTTCTTGCAAAACAGATCCGCTATAATGTATGTTAAAATAGAGAAAAAAAGATGGAGAATATGAAAATTTGTCAACTTAGAGAAATCTCTAAAACCCAATATTTAAGAGCATCTCCAACAAATTCTACATAATTTTTCTAAAATGGAGAATGAAACTTCAAAATCTCTAAAACACAGATATATTCAACTCAAACGTATTCTTAATTTTAGAGATTACAACATTATTTTTCTGGAGTATTCTCCAAATTTGGAGATTATTATACCCTCTCTCAAACTTTATCCATCTCGGAGAAAAGTTTTGGAGAACCTGTTGAAGCAAAAAACATGACCAAAATCTTTATTTTTTCCGCTTTGGAGATTGTGTTGGAGATCTTCTAAGATATATAAAGAGTATTTTGATCTTTAAGAGTCATTGAACTTAAATATTTAGGAGAGAAAAATAATATTTTATTCAATATATTAAATATTTTAATTCTCTTAAAGGGTGCTTTTATATATATATATATATATATATATATATATATATATATATATATATATAGAGTTTGTTTCAAATACAATCCATTGCATTTGTATAACCATTGCAACCCAATATATTGATATATTTATGAAAATGATGAGAGTTCATTTATTATGATTTGAATATTTATGGAAGATGAATATGATTCATTAATTATGATTGATACTTTATATTAGGAAACAATAAAAACTTCTATGAAATCACATATTAATCAAATGAAATGGACGGTTGATATTGAGTTGTATTGGTTGCACAAATGTCAAAGGTATATATATATATATATATAAAGAGAGAGAGAGACTTGAGATCATGTGAGACTAAGAGTTTTTCGTGAGACTGTAAGACCAATTCTCAACCCTTGGATTAGATATACAATATGGACATTCATAATTACAAAATTACCACGAGACTTCTCAATAATCACAAAATTGTCACCGTGCAACTTTAGACCATTAGATCATTAGCTTATAAAGTTGATCAATGAATATAAATT